GGTCTGAATCCAGAATTTAGAGTTTTAATCTATACTTGTAATGAACGTTCAAGACTCACACAAGTTAGGATTCAGTCTAGACTTTTGATGAAAAGTCCAAAAGTGAGATTCCTTTGCAGCAATAAAATGTAATTTTTTTTTTGCCAACATAGTTTAAAAATTGCATTTTTTCTTTTTTTTTTTTTTTTTGGGGGGGGGGTGGGGTGGGGTAGGTGGTGGAATTTGCTTTCTGAATTGTTCCAAAGTTCATTGAAATCTATGCATGTCTTTCCTTCAGCTTTAGCAGGCTTTAGGAACAGAGTACACATAAACATAAAAATTAAATACAAGAAGCCCAGAACTAGAAGCATCCATTGAAGTTGGCTATAGCTTTGACTCATTCTGAGACTGTGTTCAGCCAGAGATGGAATGAGTTACTCTAATACATACATTACATTATAGTAACAATTTATAATTATAATGTTATGTGATTTCTAATAATTATATTTACAACTTACTTGTAGGAATTTATGAAGTGTAACACTCCACGTCAGAATAAGAACTGTTTGAAGCATTTTGATCTCTCAGAATACAGGCAAATTCTTAGTGATTTGGCCATTCGTATCTATCACCAATTCATTATTGTAATGGAGAACAACATTCAGCCCATGATCGGTAAGACAGCAGCAACCCAAACAGACTTAAATGTAGCTTGTGAAGTATATGAATAAAGCTTATACATAGAGGCAAAGGATGGGACAGACTTCTTTCTCCTGTTGATTTATACATATGTCTACCTGCATGTGTGTTTCTGCACATATAAATTCCACTGAATGGTATATTCCCACAGGTTTGGAAAGACTTTTTCCTTACAACGTTTCCTGGTGTGGGATAATGCTTTGAAACCGATCAACATTCTACAAAAACAAAAGGCGTTTTTACATTTGTGTGCTCCAGAAGCCTTTGTCAGTACCTTATTTTTCTTGTATCATTTAACTTTTAAAATATCCTGAACGCAGGTTTTGTTCAATAATTAAGTTAACATAACTAAAAGGAGCCTTAGGAGTGTTGGTCTTATCAGTTATTTTCTGTTGTCTTTCAGTACCAGGCATGCTGGAGTATGAAAGTCTTCAGGGAATTTCTGGCTTGAAACCTACAGGGTTCCGTAAACGTTCTTCTAGCATAGATGACACGGATAACTACACAATGACCTCTATCCTGCAACAGCTCAGCTATTTTTATAGTACTATGTGCCAGAATGGCTTGGACTCTGAGCTTCTAAAGCAGGCAGTGAAGCAGCTTTTCTTTCTGATTGGCGCTATCACTCTCAATAGTCTCTTCCTCCGCAAGGACATGTGCTCTTGTAGAAAAGGAATGCAGATAAGGTAAAGCCAGTAAAGTTTCAACAAGCAGTTGCTTAAGAACGAATTTTTAACACTTTTATGTAATGTCCTTTATTGCTAAGTCACTGGATATTCTATAACTGTTCTACTGGAAGTAGCTAATTGTTTTTTACTCTTTCTGAAAAAATAGATCTTTGCCTTTTGGGCTGAGCTTTCTCAAAATAACATATTACAAATTGTTCTTTCCGTGTAAACACTAATGGAGGAAAAGACAGAAAATTACAGCCTGGAGTTCAAAGACAGACATATTTAGGATTCTTTCCATGCTAGTTCACTCATGATGTGATGAATAGTATTTTTAATTCTTTCTTACTATAGTAAACAGGTACAGCATCCCCTGGCTGGCAGACAGACAAAAGCTGACTTGCATTTTTCATGCTCTGTGACGAGAAAGGCACTGAGACAGAGCCTTTTGAGGGTTTAGATCGGGTATCATCTGTCTTGTTACGAGCATCAAGAGAACATGCTCCTAACTGTTTTGCAGAAGATACAATTCATTTGTTCTCCATTAGACAGTCTGCAGACTAAGGTGAAAGAAAATCAATAAAATCTTGACCCATCGGAGAATATTACTAAAGAAAGCTGCTTTAACCTTTAGGTCATCAGTTATAAGCCCGGCCCTGCTTTGTAATGTGCAAAGATTGTTCTCATTTCCTGTATAATCTCAGTTGTAAATAAATATTTTAAAGACATACAGTGCTACAGTGTATTAGGCAATGCCAGTATATATCAGTAATTTTCTGTAAACAACAGCTAAACTAATAACTTGCTTTCTATTATCCATGCTTTAAGAAATAAAAAAATAAAAATGATTAAAATATACAAGGGGTTAAACTTACAGATCAATAAGCTATTAATTGTTTGATTTTTATGATCTACAGGTATGGTTTTTAACTTAAAATGTATGAATTTGAACACTGCATTAGAGGAGCATTCCTTCTTTAGAAATCTTTAATGTAACTTGTTTGTTAGGGGTAACCTGACATTTCTGTTGTCCGTTCATGGTTTAACCCAGATGTAATATCAGCTACTTGGAAGAATGGCTTAAGGACAAGAATCTTCAAAGCAGCAATGCCAAAGAAACTTTGGAGCCTCTATCTCAAGCCGCCTGGCTCCTTCAGGTCAAAAAGATCACAGATGATGATGCCAAGGAAATATGTGAACACTGCACATCTCTTTCTACTGTGCAGGTAATGAACCATTTGTTTTCTTCTGCCAGCACCAATTGCAGAATCTTAGCTATCTAAAATAATTTGTTGCAAAGAGGTATTGGCCTTTCATTTGATAAAAATAGCATTCCTCAGCATTCCACATCACCACTTGTTAAACTGAATTTTTTTTTAACTCCTTATTCCTGATTGTTAGCATTTTAACTGTTCCTGTGGTGAATACTTGCCTGCTTTGTTCTATCCCAGGTTTTTGTTCCACAACGTATTTTCTTTACTTTGTCAGAGCTTTTTTTTGTTGTTTCCCTTAATTGATTCAGCTTTTTCTATATCTCCTTGATCCTGCTGACACCTCTGGAAAGGAGTCATAGCAATCATCATATATGTAACAACTCATTAGGTGACCAGGCAAAATTCTCTCTTTATTGTAAAATTCTTTACTGAAACTTCCATTAAATATCAATAAAGATGCCATATTAATTCTTTCTTCTTTTTGTCTTCTCACTTTTTGTGACGTACTAAAATAGTCTTTTTGTAATTTGAACAGATAGTTAAGATCCTCAACTCATACACTCCAATAGATGATTTTGAGAAAAGAGTGACTCCATCATTTGTTCGTAAAGTCCAGGTAAGAGCTACAACTATTATTTCTCATATTCAAGTTAGAGGATACTACATACACACAGTTTGTGGTGCTACATACTTATACTTGACCTTTACATCATATTATTACTAAGTTGCTCAGCTTCTAGACATTTGGAACTGATCAAAACAAGTGTCCTTAATATCATGTGAAAGCAAGATTTGCAATGGGAAGCAAACAATATACTATTTTTGCTTTGATTCTTAATACAATATTTTTTTACCCTTTCTGTTATAATTTCAGGCCATGCTAAGCAATCGTGAGGATGTTCCACAGTTGATGCTCGATACCAAATACCTCTTTCAAGTGACGTTTCCTTTCACCCCCTCTCCACATGCCTTGGAAATGATACAAGTCCCCAGCAGCTTCAAACTTGGCTTTCTCACACGGGTTTAATAAAACCAATGCATTGGTATTTCCTCAGAGGCTATATAAAGACAGGCAGACTTTCATGGTTCATTTATCCAGCTGGTGGATAGTATGGCAGCTTGCAGTGAATTAAACTGTTAAAAACTTGTTCTTGAGTCAAGACTTGAAAAGTAGGAATAATTTCAGCTTGTGATTTCATTCTCTCTTTTCTTACTCTTCTCCCTTCGTTACATTCCTACGACGATGACTTTGTATCATCAGCTGGACACAAAGCTAACCATACAGTTTTTCAGCCCAAACCTGACAAGAAAAGCATTTATCTGACAAGTTTGCATTGATGCGCTGTCAGCACCAGTCAGAGGGAAAGACTGCTGTGTGATAAATGTTATTACTTTACAATTTTCCTTGCCTTCACTTTCTGTAACGAAAGAGTTTTTCCCAAGGTGATTCTGTTCATTGCCTTGATATACAAGGATCTGTTTTACAGTAGCTTTCACACTTCTATACTTCTTATACCTTTATTCCTTTCATAAAAGAAGTCTTTTATAACAGTTCCTCCAGAAGACTGTAGTAGGAGGGAAGGGAAGGGCCTTCCACAATTGTTTAAAAAAAAAAAAAACAACCAATATAAGTAGCTACATTGAAACTGGGGAACCGAGATCCATCCAAGAGAATTGCTGTTACAGACCCACATTGTCTTTTTGTAGGCATGCTGGCTTGGCTCACTGAATGCTTGCATTGCAGCTCAGGCACACCAGACGGCTCTTCAGCCAGGGGAAGGACTCTGGTGCTCTTCTCAAAGATAGATTTCAGTTTTGTTCTCTGCAGTGACAAGTCTGTATTTTCATATCAGTCATTATAGTAGAAAAGTCAGATATAAAATTCATGTCATGATCCAGGTTTGAATTAAAGCTTGTTTCTCTAAAAAACAGGAGTCATCTCCTGGTTTCAGTCCATCTCTAGTGCAGTATTTCAGAATATACACTGAGTATGCACACATGTGCACATCTTTCTCCCTTTCTTTTTTGCTGGTTTCCCTCATCCGGTCCAGACATTGAGTAGGTGTGAATGCAGCTACTGTGGTCTGGTCTTACTGTTAAGCCAAGCTTAATTCCTTACATCCTTAGAAACAGAAGTGGTCCTCTTTTTGCTTTGTTCAGCCTTCTCCCTGTAGTCAGAATGCAACAAACAGTAACTTTATTTAGTACTGGATGCTGTCAGAACAACTGGAGAAACAGCATTCACCTCGCCAAATGATGACTGTACTTAGAAATTCCTCAGTAAATACTGCTAGTTTTCTAGCTAGTCTGTTAGACATAGTTATTAAAATTGAGTACTAAAGCTTTGAAATATTTAAGGCATTCTAATTAATTTAGTTAATTTAAATATTACAGAAAGGAACAATTGGTGTGTTTTGGTTTTTTTTTAATTACACAGTGTTAGTACTGCTTGCTTAATTTCACAGAAAAACCTGTAAATATAAAGAAGGAATCATTCTTGCTATTTAGTGTCCTTGGTGTTTATTATGTGCGGTGGAATATTCATGGTGATATCCACAGAGGTATATTCAAAATATATGAAGGAAAAATTTTGTGTTTTGTTCAATAACAATAAAAGCTATACAAAATACCAGACATGTAGGTAGACTAGTATTTTAATCTGTTAAATAAAGTAGCTTTTAAATTAATTTGTGCTTTGAGTGATGCAATAGTTATGTTTTCAGTATGGGATCATTTGAAAGAAGTTACTTGGAACTATGTGAACATTAGTGACTACTGTCAGTCTTGTATTGCACCATAAATATTTATTTCATGGTCCAGTTGCTTTGCTGTAACATTTTGTATCTTCCTGTCAGAATGGTATGCTGTCCTTGGCTCCTCATGAATTTCTGTAAATATTTTAATGCAAGCAAGTTTTATTGCTGTAATTTGTATTTAGCCTTTTTCAACAGTTACTGGAGCTGTATTTCTGTTGCCTGGGACGGTATGAGTAGAATCACAGTCCGCTCTTACGTCTACATCACACAGAAGTGCCAGAAGGCATGTAAGTCTTTATGACAAAAATTGCTGATCAAGGAAAATTGTTCTGACAGTTCGATGCTAGGTTACTTTGAGAGGTTTTGTGTGAAGTATGTTATTAACACTGTGTATGCAAACAACAAAATATATTTTTAAAAAAGAAAGTTCAAAATGATCAGTGTCTACTCTATGCTCTCAGAAAGTTATCTTGCTTTTGCTCACATTAATGCCTTCAACCAATGTGTAGGTGCAAAATTCTGTTTGTTATCTGTAATTCTTCTAGATACAAGGAGCAGTTTTAGTGAAGGCAGATACATGAAAGAGGCATTACTGAGGTTAACTTTCCTAGAATGATAGTAAAGGAGAAAGTTATTTCATTCAAATGGGAAAATGCCGAATGATGATCCTTACTGCAGTGGGAAAGCACTGAAATGGCTTATGGAGAGATGCGTAAGATGCTATTGGCGTCTTTGGATGTGTTTAGACATCCAAACTGCATTAGCTGCAGTTTCTGGGAATAGGACTCAGCAGCATAGGTGGTCCATTTCAGTCCTGTGTTCCCATAATATTCTAATAGAAAAGATTAGGACAGGTTACTTCTACTCAAGTCTCTGCTGGGCTGAGACCTAATTTTTTTCTTTTTCTTTTTTTTCCCCCCTCATTTTCTCTCAGATCCTCTTGACTATCAAATGCAAACATCTAATGGTATGATTTCAGTGACTTCAGTAGAATCTCAATAGTAGATGTGGCCTTCAGCACTTTTTAAATTTTTCAGATGTGTTTTCATAAATTTCCCCCAAATTTTTTAAAACAGTGCAGAAAAGCAGCAATTTTTAATCTTACTGATTTAAAATTTATTGTCTTAAAACAGGTGAATAGTAAAAGAATATCCAAGGAAGAACCAGCATGGACACTAATCAATTTGTTTGACTTTTAAATTTCATTAAGAATATGAGATAGACTTAACATTGACAGTGTTATTTGTCAGAATGTCAACTTGATAGTTGGAAAAATCAGTCGTCAGTCACCTCCCCAGTACATTTAAACTTTAACATTCGGAACCCATCCAAAAATTGCTGCTATATGGAACAGGCAGGTAAGATCTAGTTTGCCTAATAGTTTGTTCTTTATTCTGTATTCTGAAAGAGGGCAGTTAAAATAAAGCCTTTAAGCTATAATCATCAGTACATAACTGACCTGAGGTGATACAACTGGAGAGGCTGAGCTTTAAATACCCTTTAAGTAGACTTAACAGGAAGGTTGCCTTTCTACGTTAGCAGTTGCACACGGCTTATTTAGTTATCTTGAGAATCTCCAGGTTCTTGCTGTTTGAAAAGGTGGGTAATTTTGCGTATTTATCAAGAAGATTCATTGTGCAGAATTTCTCTGTAAATAGCATATTTCTTAATGTTTCACCATGCTACCATTTTTTAAATTTCTGCTGTAACTTTAAAAACCTAGCAAGTTTAAAATTTCAGGCTACAGCACAAGAAGTTGTAATCTGTTTAGACCTTTTAGGCCTTAAATAGTCTATATCTTTATAAAATAGTATACAAATCCATCATTATCACAATCAATCTCAGGTATGATACTGCTTTTTAATTATTCAGAAGTTTTGTTGGCTTCTCTTGTAGCAAAATTTTGAAATATGTCATAATCTCATTTGAAGTAAAATACCGATAGCAGGTATGATTCACCCTGTATGTTAGTCCAGCAACTTCTCACATTTTATCAAAGATTAATTCTGCCGAGAGTATTTATTCCAAGCCTAATAGATCCTTGTCTAAAGTCTCTAGATCTAGTAATGATATTTTGTTCAAGTAAGATGGCATTTTTCCCTGTAATACTTTCATTTTACACTTCTGCTGAAGTGAGTTTTCCTCCCAAAATCTAGTTGGCCTGGTGTCTTGAGGCTTCACACCAAGTGTATAAATCTGTGATTATGTCACCTGAGAGTAACAGGTTGTTCGGTTGTAAATGTCCAATTTTAAGAATCTAGTAGAACTGGGCCCTCGTGCTGTAGTCACTTTAAAGCTATAAGCATTACTAGCACAGGGAAGCTCCCTCAAAGAATGGCAGCTTGTGGTCTCAAGCTCATTGTTCGCAAAAGAATGCATTAAAAACTTCAGGACATATTTGTTGATTTTCATCAAATGGAATATAAACCTCCTTGACTGCCTGTAGCTGATTGAAAGCTCCATGCAAATTTCAGATTAATGTGCTGTAGTTCCTTTCAGGACAGATTGCTTCCCACATGTTTTTGGATGAAGTTACGCATCTCCTGGAGACAACAGCAAAACTTTTACTGACTTGAGTGTGGGCAGGATTTCTGAGTTTATCATCTCATTTTTCAAGTAGTCCACTGAAATACTTAAGAATAAGCAGAAGAATGCAGGCAGGTGCATAGAATAAAGTTTGGTTTGGTTTTTGTATAATGTCCAGCCAAACAAATTCTAAAATCTGCATAGCTTATTGAATTTCTTTTGCTCCATTTAAATCTCTCTTGCAATAGTTTCTTCTAATTGTTAACCATAAACTCATTATTTATGTACATGTCTAAATATTAAAGGTACTTAATTTTAGAAGTGGCGAAAGATCCCATTTTCCCCATGAAAAATTACAGAGAAAAATGACACTACAGTATTATTCTTGTTTGTTTTTCTGACTCTCAAGTAGTTTTTAATTCTCTGTTGATGATAGTGCTTTGATCCTGGAGATGCCTGGCTTGAGAACAAAAGTGGGTTCATAATGACCTAGCTCTCAGTGTGCTTGAAGCATCAATTTCTGCTCAAGCAGCACATTGTTCATAATATATTTGTAGTTGCTGACTGAATCCTAGGTCATCGTTTCAGCTTTAAAAATAATGCATAATATTTAATAATGCAGTGGAAAAACAATAAATATTGATCAGTGCAAATTTCTCACAAATCCAGCTGTTACACATTTCTGGTTACTGTCTGCTGACGGTAGTTAAGTAAAAACTAAGAGTAATTTCCTGCAAGTAGTGAA